CTGTCCTGGCTGCACTGACACACTTTAAATCCGGGCTGGCTGTACAATAAATTGGCCTTTTTTCCCCAAAGAGCTCCGTGTGTGCTGCTGTCCTTTCTCTCTCTTTGCAGAACAGTGACCACACCCAATTCATTACAGAAATGCTGGAGCTGAGCTGCAGGGAGGGACACTCGTGCTGTGTCTCCCTGTCCACAGTGACATCCTCCAAACAGAGCAGAGGGCTGGGAACCCCCTGTGTGCTCACTGTCCCAGCATCTCCCAGTCCTGTCCTTTCCCCAAGGGAAACATTTCCACCTGTTGGATCTCAGAAATCTGGAGTTTTTGAGGTTTCTGTGTTTCCAGGCACAGACCCCCATGAAAACACTGCTGTGGAGCTGGAAACCTTGGAGAAGATTTGTAAATATGAATAATGAGTTAGAAATCACAGATGTGCAGTGGGTTAGATGTGTGTGTTTTCACTGGGTGATGGGTTTTAAATTTGAGGTTTTTACAGCACAGTGGTGGATATGGGACAACATGGAAAATGTTGGGTGGTGTCTTTTTCTTTGTTCATCTTCTTCTCCACAGAACTCAGGCAGTGACCTTTGGTTGGTCAAATGTCACTCTAAGGGTGGTGGGAATCTATTATTGGGTCAAAAGGATCAATAATGTCGGTGTTAAATTTGTTTTTGTTTGTTTGGCTTTAAAAGGCCTTGGAGCAGCCTCAGCTGGGGCCATTTTTGCCACTTGTAGCCAGGAGCTGGAGGTGCTGACACACTTCCTGTAATTTCTGATAAAATATAATAAACATCCAAGCCCAAACACGAGAATTGCCTCAGTCTCAGTTTCTGTTAATCCTGGCTCTGAGGGAAAACAGAGACTGGTGACAAACCACTCCTGAGTGCTGCAAAGCCCAGCTTAAACCCCACCCAGAGCAGGGGCAGGACATGCAGGACGTGCTTGGTGTGCCTGGCACTGCCCCACACCCAAGGCAGGAGCAGCACCTGCAGCTTCAGCCCTGGCACTTCTGCCAAGGACCCAGAATTAGGCAGGAGCATCGTGGCAGGTGAAGGTGAGAGGCAAGGGAGAGCCCCTGAGGAGAGGAGGCTGAGAGAGGAACCCTTGAAGGCAGCTGGCAATAAAAAGGACAGGCACAAGATGCATTCAGGAGATGAAAAGCCTCCTGTGCAAGAGGTCAGATTGAAAGCAGGCAGAGGGAGAGCTACCAGGGAACATAACTCAGCTTCCAAGCACTGAACATTTGCTCTCGAGTCAGCCTGGCCTTTCCTACCTGCTGGAATCATCCTCCAGCTCTCCTGTCCCTGGTCAGGCAAGATTATAACAACTCCAGAGTCGAGATTTCCCCCCTCTGCACATCACTAACAAGTCATTTTATAAAGAAACCCATTTCATCTAGTACAGATGAGGTTTGAAAAATTCCATTTGCCTTGCCTCTAAATGCAAATCTGTGCTGATCTGATGAGGCTCCCATTTCCTGGATTAGACACGTCCAACTTTGCAAAAACCAGCATACCCTGGTGGATTCACTCTGTATTTCACAGCCCTCTCTTGGCCCTGCTGCCATAAATATTTCAGAGACCTGCCCACCACTGGCTGAGTTAGGTCCAGGTCAGTGCAAAGCCAATGGTTTGGACAGTAATTAATTCAGGAAGGCAATTAGCAAGAGCTGCTGCAGCTCAGGACATCCCAGGGAGCAGCAGGACACACAGAGCAGTGTAAGGGGACCCTCAGCAGCCACCACAGGCTGTGGGACAGACTCCTGAGCCCAGGGCATCCCCCTGCATCCTTCCTCCCCCAGCTTTAAAAACTCTTCTCACTCTAAAGCAGCGCTGCCTCATCTGACCACCAAAATCTCCTACTGCCCATCCTCAGTCCTGTTCTTTGCACAGCAAGTCCTCCAAAGCAAACTCTGAAAACACCTCCCCAGCGTGGCTGCCTCGAGATCTGTGTTCCCACAGGTGTAAAACCTCGTTTGAGCAGCAAATGAGACAGGAGAAGACCTGTGACAAGGAGGAGCAGCAAAGACAGCCTGAGGATGCTCGGGAGCTGCAGCCATGGATATTTAAATGCCAAGCAATGCATCACTGGCTCCCTGCTGAACATGAGGTGGTTTCATCTTTGCATGCTCACATCAGCTTCACTCTGGCAGCCCGAGCAGCAGCAGCAGCAGCTATGGCTCCTTGGTTTTTAACTGTGATAGAATCAGGCACTTCAGGAAATTATTCTGGGCAGCACCAACACTGGGGAGTCACTGCAGGTTCAGCTCTGCAAGGAAAAGCTTTAAGCACAGCTGAAGGTGCAGCCAAGATCCTGAGAGTTTGGATCTCAGGGAGATGCAGGCTGCACCATGGCTCTGCTCCATCCCTCCAGTCTGCAGGCAGCTGCTCTGCCCCACTGCAGAGCAATCTGTAAATATTTGGATATTTCTGGGCAGAGCAGGTTCTCACTTGTCCATCTGGATTGGAAACTGGACTCATTAACTCCCAACTGCCAGCTGGAAAACCTGCCAGAAGGTTTCTGCCACATCAGGGAGCAGCAAATTGCAGAGCAGAGCCCTGTGCAGCCCCAGCTCTCCACTCATCACTGCTGGGGGGGTGATTAACACCCTTTTCCTTTCTCAATTAAATCCCTGCCTCTTATATCCTTTTTCTGAATCTTCACAGCAAAGTCCTCCCAGAGGAGCCACTGCTGGGTGGGAAATTTCCCATCCTAATGCAGGGTGGAAAATCTGCTCAGTGATCAAATGGTCAGAGCAGT